TTTCTTTCTTTCTTTCTTTCTTTCTTTCTTTCTTTCTTTCTTTCTTTCTTTCTTTCTTTCTTTCTTTCTTTCTTTCTTTCTTTCTTTTTTTACAATAGATGAAATAAAAATGAATGCACCAAGACCAGAAGCTAGTGACAATGATACCCAAGCAAACCTTGGAAAATTCAACAGAATTGCTACAGGGGGTAGTTTTGTAATGTCAGGAGTGCCTTCTGGAAATATTCCAGATGCCTTTCCACCATCTCGAATCACTGATCTTGAAGTAAAACTCAATGATGAGAATGATTTCCTTTTGTCATGGACTGCTCCTGGAAACAACTATGATAAAGGAAAAGGTAACATTTTCTTTCCTATGTTAGGCAGAAGAAATCATGCTAAAGGAGGAACAAAATACTATTTGCTATTGGCTCCCAAATTTAAATCTTTATGGAATTTTCCTTATGGGATAAAATTGGATGAATACAATCCAATTTGGCACATAGGGTGCTTTTGGTTTAAATTAGATGTGTTTGTTGCAAAGATTTCATTGACAAAGATACCAGTTCCCAAGTATTGTGGTGAAATTGTCTTAATGTCTCCTTGAATATTTTTATTTTTTTGCAGCTGAAAAATATGAAATTAAAACAAGTGAAAATCCTGTGGAATTAAGAGATGCTTTTCAAAATGCTGCTTCTGTGAACACATCTGATCTGAAACCTGATGTTGCTGGGATCAAACAGTCATTTCAGTATAAGATGGAAAATTTCACAAAAGAAAATGGCACCGCAATTTACTTTGCCATTCGTGCCAGTGATGGCAGCAACAATGTTGGGGAAGTATCTAATATAGCAAGAGCAGTTGTACTTCTTCCTCCATTGCTCCTTAGTTCTCCCTCACCCACCAATCCTTCTAGTTCTCCCTCACCCACCAGTCCTTCTAGTTCTCCCTCACCCACCAGTCCTTCTAGTTCTCCCTCACCCACCAGTCCTTCTAGTTCTCCCTCACCCACCAGTCCTTCTCCGCCTACAGAAGCTCCCAATACTAAAGCTCCTGTGATAAATACAGTGACTGTAATTGTTATCATAGTATGCATTGCTCTAATTATCATTTGTGCTTGTATATGTATAACTATTTGTGTTTTACATAAGCAAAAAAAGGTAAATCCTGAAACTCAAATGTAAGAAGAAATAAGATCAAAACTATAGAATGGAAGGACAAATAAATACAATCTATGATGGTTACACAGACTTTTAACAACCTTGTTTGTGTATTAAGACAGCAGTTAATATTCTCTGTCATAGACATAGATTTCTGCAGTATTGTTGATTTTAACTTTTAAAAGTTGAAAGGAAATTGAATCACTATTCTCAGCTTATAAGGTAAGAGGTGAGTCAAAATAAAAACAAGTTAGAAATATTTATCAGCCTCATATGTTAAATTTTACAAGCCACCCAGAATCCTTTATGTGTGGGTTGGGTGGATATATAAATGTGTTTAATAAATAAATAAATAGATTTTCCCATGCTTTCACTAAGCAAAGTTGAATTTCCAATGCAAATACTACATTTATCTACTGCTCCTTTTACCTTTAGTGTAAATTTAACATAAAGCCAATCTGACCTTAGCAACCTCAAAGGCAGCATTATTAATTTCATCTATACTGATTTATGAGAATAAATTCTATGTTAGGTTTAGGATGCAATGATATTACCATAATGGAGTCTGATTCAGCTTTACACTGAAGTATATTTTTCTGAGATGAGGAAGATTAAATCAAATTAAATCAAGTTTCTTCAGGCAGAATTTAGATGAGTGAAACATGTTATATGGCTAAAGTGACAACTTTTTAAGCAATTATGATTTTTACAGTCTAAGAAATCTTGAAGCATCAAGATTTGGGGTAAAATAATTATAGAACAATAAGATTTTTATACAATTTAGTAAAATTGCCTAATTTAGTAAAAATACCCAATCATATTGCACCATAATGTTCTATACTACACTTTAACTATAATGGAAGATGGCTTAGCAATTCTGATGCCTACCAACAGGGACAAAATTGCTTCTCCTAAACATTGGTAAATAAGTATCAAGATTAATGTCAAAATAATGTTTTTAACAAACATGTTTGGTGGGGAAGGATTTAGAAGAATCATATGAGACAAAAAAAAAAATCATTGTTCCATTTGAACAATTTTACTTATTTTCATTTGTTTATTCAATGTATTCAATCTCTGTTCCATGAATCTGGGTAGCTAACCAGGATTAAAAACAAAATAAAAACAACAAATCACTAAATAATATATACATAGAGAGACCAAGGTAGAAAATCAACCAACTCATCAATCAACATTTGTTCCAGTTTTTCTGAAGTTCAATAAAGAATAAATTTAATTGATTCTCAAACTTGCTTACCATTGTGTATGCAGTTGCAACATTAATAGCCTTTGGCGTATTTGTGAAGAAGTATATTGAACTCTTTTGTTTTTGCAGGTACAATTCAGAATTGTGGGTGGCATGAAAATGGATGGGGCTTTAATAATTCACTTATGATTACCATCCTGATCCCCTCTGAAGATACCCCTGTATTTCTGTCCTGAATCCCCAATTTCTCCTTTGAAAATAACACCCTCGAATTTGATGAACCAAAACATCTTCTGACTTCTCATTGACAGACTTATTAGACACCATTACAGACAGTCTTCAACTTACAACCGCAATTGACCCCAACATTCCTGTTCCTAAGTGAGACATTTGTTCAGTGACTTTTGCCCCATTTTATGATCTTTCTTGCCACAGTTGTTAAGTGAATCACTGCAGATGTTCAATTAGTAACTGTTCTGTCCTAGGCCTCACCCAAAAGCATTCAGTCAATTCCGAGTCCCAGAAAGCATATTTACAATAATGTGAATTAGTTCATTCACAGTCAGCCAACAGCTTGGCACACATTCTCAGGGAGGTGGACTAATTATCTCAGACTGTTATCAATCCTGGAATGCTACCCGGTAAACAGTTCCACACTCACTGTTGGCAGGGAAGGCTGGGTTTACAGACCAAGATACACAAGGCTAGAACAAACACATGACTGAGCGAGTTGTTTCCTGCAAAAGCCCCCTCTCCTTTTGCTCATCTTTTAATCCTGATGGGAGGGGCCATTCATCATCTATCTGTGGCCTTGCTCCCACATCGACCCTGAATCCTTAATTGCTCCTTTCTTTTAGCAGCTCTGTGTGTGCACAGGCTGGGAACCGGTTCCAACTGCTCCCCAGCCTCACTGCTATCTGAGCCCAAAGGCAGCTGATGACTGCCAGCCTACCCTGGCCCCATCTCTGCCTCTGATATCGAGCCCGAGCCTTCTTCAGCCTCCAAGACTGGCCCAGGTTCTTCCCCAATCTCCTCACTACTGTCTGATTCTGCTGCCAGCCAGCCGCCGGCGGGCCACAACAGTAACACCATTATTACGTGAATTTGTTTTCCCCATTGACTTTATTTTAAGAAGGTTGCAAAAGGTGAACACATGACCCCAGGACACTGCAACCATCATAAATATGAGTCAGTTGCCAAGCACCTGAATATTGATCACATGACAATGGGGATGCTATAATGGTTGTAAGTGTGAAAATGGTCATAAGTCACTTTTTTCTGTGCCATTGTAACTTTGGTCACTAAATGGACTATTATTAGTCAAAGACTACCTATACAACAACACACCAACTCCCAACACACCAACTCCTCTAGAAAACTATAAATGAGTCTTTATCTGGGGTCTCCATCTCTACCAGGATTAATGGCTTCCTGATTATGCTTTATCAAAAAAAAATTTCCAGTCCTAGCGAAGAACAATCTTCAAACAAGCAATGTATCACCTAGATAACTCACAACATAATTAAACATTTTAAGAGAAAAGTTGAGTGAGACAAATCTATTCTGGAGAAAGTTTACAGCAGTGGTTAAGGGTTGGATCAGAAATGGGAAGACTCAGATTCACATCAATCCTTAGTCATAAAACCTCATTGGGTGATTTTGGGCCAATTATTTTCTCAGCTCAATCTACCTCATAGTGTTATTATTTTGGAGAACAAAATAATAGGCTGCACTATGTATTTCACCTTGAATTCCTGAAGAAAAGGCCGGATATAAATCTAAGAAACAATACTGCCTAAAATGTCTTGTAAATTTATCCCACTGTAAAAAAATTTTTTTTTTCTGGGAAACTTTTGGAAGAAGGAATGTGCCAGTGAGACCTTCAATGTGTTCTCTGCCAGGTTGCAATAATCAGTTTTGTCATACTTCAAGATACACTGCAGGAAAGACAGCAATCAACACAGATAGAATCTGGAATTAAGGAAAATCTTTGCTGATTCCACAGTGAAGTGTTCATACGGGAATGCTCAAATTCTAAATTAGAAGTCACTATTAAAAATTTAGGGGGTGTAGTGACAGAGCAGTTAAGACTTTTGGATTGTTGACCAGAAGGCCAGGAGTTCAAGACCTACCACGTGACAGAATGAGCTTCTGTTACTTGCCCAAATTCCTGCTAACCTTGCAGTTTAAAGCATGTAACATTCCATGTGCCTTCAGAATACGGTTATTCCATGTATCTTCAGCATATAGTCATACTCGCCACATGACCATGGAAGTGTCTTTGGATAATGCTGGGTCCCTCTGCTGTGAATCAGGGATGAGCGTTGTCCCCTAGAGTTGGACATGATTGATGGAGGAAAACTTTACTTTTATTGGATATTTATCATTTCTCTCCTTCCTCTTGTCGTTCAGATGGGAAATTTGAGGAGAAAAATAAATGGGAGAAAATGACATCTTTATAACATGAAATAAATATTTGGCATACATTTTCATGGGCTTTAAATGCAGGAAGTGTCATCTTGACATATATAATCATTTGTATTTCTACATTCTTAATGACTGCTCATATTTCAATTCCTCTTTCATGAATGTTTTTCCAGCCCAGTTTCATTTTATAGTCACTCAGAATTCTTATATTTTGAAATCAGCATATTCTGCATGTAAATCAGTTTTAGATTAACTGATACTAGCCGCAGTGCATAATTAGGATCACGATTTTGGAGATCTTTTAGGAGAATGAAGTTGTGACATCTCGAATCAGATAAATATTTATCAGCAATTAGTCTTCTTGTCTGCTCACCTTATTTTAAAGCAGAAAATTAAATCAAATTTAGTTATGGGCAAAGTAAAGACAAAGTAAAGTAAAAACAAAAAGCAAAAGTAAAAAAAAGTAAAAAGCAAAGTAAAAACAAAAAAAAAACAAAATCAGAAATGCAAAAACAGTGACCAGATACATCAATATAGCAGTCATATAAACCTAAAAGATTAAGACATAAAAACTAAAGAACGGGAAGAATTGAGTAAAACAGTATAAAGCATAAAGTAAAATAGAAAAAGGGTAAAATAGGAATAGAGTAAAATAAAATTTGAAAAAACCTTCACAATGTCATCATCCCAAGATTAGGACTTTCTATTGCAAATCACTGCTGGTAAAACATGGCAGATCTATGGTGATGCTACAGTTTCAATCTGCGAGCATGAAATGGACTTCTATTCCATCAACAGGACAGCGATTGAGAACGTTTGAGGAGTGATGTGCCACAGCATTTTGAATAATATGCCAGCATTCACCAACACCTGACAAGTAGTCTCAGAAGCATACCTCATTTTCACATGATTTTCAGAGGCTGCGAAAGCCAAACGAGAATGTGTGGTGCTTTTGTGAGGCCTCCAGAAGTTGCATGAAAGGGCTGTGCTGCAGAGGCAATTGTGCCATTTCCTAAGGCTTGCATGAGGCGGCCTTTTTGAGTGGCAGTTGTGGCGCTAAGGCTGCAGCTGAGGCCTGGTACCTACTTCAGGTCTAGTCTTAGCACTTCAATTGACTGCAGGGTACCCTAGAATGGAGGGGAGATAGAGAATGGTTTCTCTGGAAGGTTGACATTCCATCAGAACCTAGTTAAGCTTTTTTTCTGAATATTTGACACAATGAGGCCAAAAGGTTCTCCATCGCTGTGTTAGGAGGTGGCTAAGAAATGTCGGCAGATACATTGTTGAAGAAAGGACAGTGGAAAAATAATGCAATAGGATCTCCAGTGAATTGGGATCATAATGACCGCATCTTTCAGTGAATGCAGTCCTACTAGTACTGCTGAGATGAAGAGTTGAAAAGAGCAAAGAAATTGCACTACACAGTGATGGGTAGATAAGTACTGAGCAAATATAAAATATTCCCAATTACCCATGTGCATATTTCTTCATTAGAAATGATAAAATCCATTAATGTTACAGATCTGCCAATCAAATAACTAACCTTGTAAGAAGCAGTTCCAGGAACCTTAATAGATTTATAGACAGTAGTGCGATGGGTTTAGGAATTGTACTTAGACACAATCAGATGGCAGTTCCCTGGCACTTGGAGTGTATGGTATTATTGGGATACAGATGAGATAAGACTTCCCAGTCACATTTCTCTGAGCTAAGGACTTTCCACTTTCTGGGTGATTAATTAGTTTATGACAAAAGTAGCTTGATGCAGTGATATCAGGCTAGATATCAGGGGGTGGGGGTATGGGAGATGGGACCCTGAGTTCTATTGCTGATTGAGGAAGAAAACCAGTTGGGTGATTTTGGGGCAGTCACTCTCTCTGAATCCCATGAAGTAGGTAATTGTAAACCACTTCCAAATCTTGTCAAGAAAACTGTAGGCAGTTGCTAAGAGTCAAGACTGACTGAAAGGTGAAGAAATGGTTTGGGAATCTGGAGGCCCTGGAGGAGACAGGCCAATAGAAATGGAAGTGTTATATTAGGTGACTCTAATCCTGGAACTCTTCCCATCTAGCTGTGGAAGCTAAGAATACAGTCCCTCTCTCACTGCTTGCTCTTAGTGCAGCATAGCAATGCTAGGACAGATCGTTCACTCTTCCTAACAGATGGATCTCCTTTGGGAAAACTAGGTCAGTTTATATTTCTCTTATAGTTTTCTCCAAATGCTCATGTCTTTTTTTCTTCTTCCTCTGACCTTCTTAATTCATTCTTCTTAGATTAGCCCAGCTGTTAGATAGGCGAAGCCTGCCACCTTACCTGCTTCAAGTTACCTGTATATATAATTTAGATTTTTCATTTGGTTTCTAGGATTGTATCTGGTAGAACTGCAGTTTTGATTCAATATTTATTTTTAGCCACTAGATGTAGTAAAACATTCGTTCTTTATTGTGGCATTTCCAGCACTTTTTTGTTGTGTGCTTTGGTTATCTTAACAATCACTGATGAAACATATAATCTACATCTAAAGCAGGGGCTCCCAACTCCTGGGTCACAGAATAGTACCAGTCCACAGCCCTTAGAAAAACAGGAGCTTTCCCCCCATTTGTAGTTGCACCCACCAGCTCAAGGTATGTCTGTAACGCCTCCTGCCTGCTCCTAGATGGCTCACTGAGGCTCCTTGGAAGAAACTAAGGGCCACTTCAGGGACCTCAGTTTGTGATCTATTCTGCAACCAGCACCTGCTTGTGATTTTGATGCCATATAGAGTACCTCTAACTCCTTTTGGCAATAATATTATATTATATATATTTTCTTAAGTTTTCGCGGGTACTTACATGTATGGTACTCAGCTTTGTTCGGGTATTTTCCCACGTCATTGTAGTTGTGCTTTTAAAGTTGTAGCAACGTTTCGGCAGAATCTCATCTGCCATCATCAGGCTTCTGTATAATGTTCATCTGTGAGTCAGACTTTTATAGTGGTTTCAGATTTAAAATTGGGGCAGCCTATTGCTGTGCCAGAATGGTATTTTTCTTCATCCTGATTGGTTGGGAGTCTTGGTCTATGTTTATTTGTCTTGGAGTTTGCTGTGTTCTGCTTGATTGGTGTTTCTAATATCTTATGTCTGTTTTGGGGCTCTTTTTGTATCTTGATTGGCTGGCAACATTGCATTCCTTTATTGGAGGCCTTTAGTGCAGCTTGGCTCTGGGTAAATGGACGGCTATCATTTGTTAGGAAGCTAGGTTTCATCTGGGTGCCTGGTTGGGGTGTGTTTGAGCTGGAGGTATCAGGGGGATCTGTTTGTGCCCAGGTGCTTGTCTGGCTAGTGGTGTGGAGATTTTTTTGTTTGTGAGTGCAGGCTTCCAAATGATTGACAGTCTGGTGGAATCATCTCTTCTGTTCATGCTTTCTGGTCTTCTTTTAATCTCTGTGGCTTCTCTGATGATTCTGTGGCTGGGGTTTTCTATAGTGGCTAGGGTTTTGGTGCCATTGAAGTTGATGCTATGGCCTGTGGCTTCCATGTGTTGGACTAGTGAAGAAGTGTGTTCCAGCTTTTTGACTGCATTTTTGTGTTCTTCCAGGCGGGTACTTATTCTTCTATTGGTCTGTCCAATGTATGTGGCTGGGCATGATGCACAGGGGACTTCGTATATGCCTTGGTTTTCCAGGTATATGAATATATGGTATTCAGCTTTGTTCGGGTTTTTTCCCACGAAAATATATATATATATATTCTTAAGTTTTCGCGGGTACTTACATGTATGGTATTCAGCTTTGTTCGGGTATTTTCCCACATCATTGTAGTTGTGCTTTTAAAGTTGTAGCAACGTTTCGGCAGAATCTCATCTGCCATCATCAGGCTTCTGTATTGTGTTTGTCTCTCTCTCTCTCTCTATATATATATATATTCTGCCGAAATGTTGCTACAACTTTAAAAGCACAACTATAATGACGTGGGAAAATACCTGTACAAAGCTGAATACCATACATATAAATACCCGCGAAAACTTAAGAAAACATATATATATATACTCCATCTGGTGATATCCTTCTATAGAGGCATTGTTCTGTTTCAAGACAGTGTTATCTATGACATTAGAGTGTCAGAAATTGATAATACCAGCTGTTTTTATTATAAACGACAGTTTGTGGCTTAGTACTGTACATAAGCTCATTTGTGATTTATTCAACAGACTGCTCTTTATGAAATTGAATTACTGATATATATTGGTGACCGGAATTTAGCTTGTAATTCTCCAAATGCTAATTTGATTTCTTTCAGTATAGTGACATCTAGTGGATTTACAATATACATTTTATTTTGTTTATATCTATCCTACCTGATAAGATTCTGGTTGCTCCAACAGCATTTTTGCATTTGTGGCAGACTTTCACCTTGTGCATCACTGACTACACCTTGGTTCTTGGGAAAGAAGTTCTAGTGTAAATGCAGAAAATGAATCTTCAGTGAAGTGCTGCACTTGTCTTGTATGCTGTAAGAAGTTTACCAACCAGCTAAATGTAATTTGGTATTCTGTGGTTGCCAAAATTCTCAAAGACATTCTTGTATGCATTCCAGGCAATTTTCTTGGGCCTCACTAACAGATATTAGAACTGCTTGTCATTAATGATGTATATGACCAACAAAAATGCCTTCCTTAATCCTGGCATATTCTTGAAAACAGCTGTCTCAAATAACAAAAAACTTCATCTTCTTTGTTCACCACTTTCAGAATTTTTTTCATTGGAGTTTTATGTGAAGCAGAGGCAAAAATATCTTCGTCCAATCAACAGGTGTCTCATTTGTCATGTTTTTCTGTCCTGAAACCAAATTCTTTTGGAATGGCTATTTGTTTGCAATTCTCTTGCATGACAGTCCCATTCACATAAATAACAACAGTACTTGGTCCATCTGAAATGTATTCTAGGCAGCAGAACCACTACTTTTAGATCTCTTATACTTGATCTATTGGATGTGCATCAACCAACAATTCCATGTTTTTGCATGTTTTTTTCATGTGTGTAGCATAGTCAACAGGTACTGAAAAATGTACACGGCCATTGTGTAACCACCGAAGAATTTTATAAAACGGCATGCGGTGTGTTAAATTACAGGCTATTTTAATGATTAGAAGCCAAAAAACTATAACATACAAGCAAAAGTATTTCGGAAACAAAATCTTTGTTGTCCAGAACTATATTGGGAAATCGAGAGCAATGAGACTAGTAGAGCAAAAACAGAGGCAGGTAAATTCAACAAATAGTTTTAATAGTTTCTATTTAAATAGTTTTTAGTAACAGCCTGGTGAATAGTTAATCAATGAAATAATACTTTGAAGATAAAATTGTTCATGTCCATGTTAGTTTGGGTTTGATATATCAATGGGTGTACCAGCAAACTGCATTTCTTTAAGTAAGATTTGAGTACTGTAAATTGTAAACTAATAATGTTTTTACAGTGACTAATATATTTCAAACCAACTTGTCTCTATTACTGAAGTTAACAGGAGAGGCACTTTAGTGTAGTGCTTAAGGGACCAAGCTAAAGACTGGGAGATCATGAGTTCTAATCCTGCCTAAAGCACAAAACTAGCTAGGTAACTGTGCACTAGTCATTCTCTCAGTCCTAAGAAAAAGGCAATGGCAACCACTTCTGAAATCTTGCCAGGAAAACTGCACTGACTTGTCCAGGTAAGTTGTCAGGAGTCAATGATGACTTGAAGGTGTTCACATAATTGGGTTGTATTATAAATTCAAATATAAATTCCAAAAGGCCATTTGAAGATTGCAAGGTAATAGGCACCTACACTTTTTACTATATTGGCAATTTACACACGTACACTAGCTCAATACCCATGCTTCACTACAAAACTATGTGGTCAGGCTTAGTTTTGGGGAAGAAAAATAAGAGGAAAAAATTCTGCCTCTGCCTACCAGCGTCCATTGGTATTCATCTGGCTAATGCCCTTTTTGGAAAGTGAAACAGTATTTGCTGTGTGACCAAAGAGACAGCAAGGAGCCAGGGCCATGGCTTAGCTCAACTGTTCTGTACTAAAGCTGCTTGGTGCTGGAAAAGTAACACTGAAACTGAAACTCCTCTCCACCACTTGTGTTTTGCATTTGGAGCCGATTTCTTTTCAGATGGAGAGAGGGAGTAGAACTCCTTACACCAGAGCGTGTTAATAATAATATATGAAATACTAATGCTCTAATGGTCGTTTTGAAAAACCCTTCCTTAGTGAGCACCTAGAAGTCAAGAGGAACATACCTGCCAGATTTCAAGTTTGTAGGCTTTACGGTTCAGGAGATTTTGTGATGATGCGTGAATCTATCTATCTATCTATCTATCTATCTATCTATCTATCTATCTATCTATCTATCTATCTATCTATCTATCTATCTATCCATCCATACACATATATATGCATATATACATATACACACATATATATGCATATATACACACACATATGCATATATATACACATATGCCTGTGTATATGCATACACACCCATATATAATATACCTCTGTAGAGTGCAAAAATACCTTTTTATTAATTTACGATACGGAAACGCATATAAACAGGTAACCGTTGTTCAACGTTCAGAAAAAGGCACGTGCCAGTCACATACATTTATGACGCTTATTGTTAGCGTTAGATATGCCTTCTGATCTTGCCTCCTGTTTTTAGGATTTAGGTTCCGTTTTCTGAAAAAGCATGCCCGGCGCTTGAAAAAAGGGCGCAAAACTCTCTCAAACCAAGCAGTAATTACCGAGGCAAGAAAAAACCAAAACCAAACCCACGTAGCTACTCCCTAAACGCCACCTCTCCAGAGATCAGTTACGTGACCGGCCGCTGTAATCTAATCTACACCGCAGCGGCTGAAAGAAAAGGATCACGCCCAGACTCCGAAGGACCTTCCCTTAAGATCCCCTTAGGAAGCTCGTCATCGGGGGGAGGTGGGTGTGTGTGTGTGTGGGGGGGGGAATGGGCGGAGCGTCCGTAGCAGCTGTGCCTTCTCCTTCTATCTCTTGGTTCCGCCCACGAGCTGAATGCATCCAATTGGCTGCTGGTTTCGTAACTCCTGGCCAAGGCCCTGTTGCGGCTGGCACCACCCTTCTTACTGCCACCGCCGCCGCCTTCGCCCGGCGCTTCCAAAGGGAGGAAGTGTGGTGGGCGGCAGGCCGCCGCCGCCACCTCATTCCCCCCCCCTCCAACTCCCGAATTGGTCGGCTCCCGCTAAAGATGAATATTATGGATTTCAATATGAAGAAGCTGGCGGCTGACGCTGGCACGTTCCTCAGCCGAGCCGTACAGGTAAGGAGGGAAGAGCAGTGCCGAGGAAGCGAAGCCTCGTTTTTTCCCTTCCTGCCGAGCCTAGTCGTCCCTCTCAGAGAAGGGCCCGGGCGTTGGCCAGGCCGTTGCTGCACGCGCGAGACCCCACCCCTCTCTTCCCCCTTCCCCAACTGGCATAGAAGCCAGCTCCTCTGGCATTGGGGCAGCAACCGGTTGATCAGGAGCCAAATTAGGCCCAGTCCTCCTCCTCCTCCTCCTGGCCCAGCACTGCCGGGCTTCCTGCATACGCGGAGGAGGCAGAGGCGGGGATCATGGGGCGGGGGGGGGGGGGGAAAGGGGGGGGGGGCGGTGTTTTGGTGGCCCTCGCCCTACGGCTGTCCTCACCGCCTCCGGGGGTCGGTGGGGAGCGCACCCGGGCTTTAAATGTCTGCCCTTCCGCAGCTCCAGCGCACAACGCAAACGTTTCTCTTTCCCGGCCTTCGCCCTTCCTCCCCCCCCCCCCGCCACTTTCTTTTATTCCGTTTCGGTTTGCCAGCCTCCTCCTCCGTCTCCTGGGGAGGGTTTTCCGAGGAAGGTAGGAAACGGAAGGAGGATGAAGACGGGGGAAAACTACCAATGGCCCAAGAGCCTGGACGACGTGTGAAGAGTTCAATGCTGGGACTTTCAGGATTGACAGAACAAAAATCTTTTTTTTTTTAACCCCAGCAACACATAGCTACGCTTTGAAATGTTCAAGCCTCTCATAATAATAGCAGCCAGGGCCTATGGTTTTGGAGACCCCCCAAAAAAGGGGGGGGGCGGTTAGACAGGTTGATGGAAGATTTTGAGAGGGCTGGGTGGGTGGTGACTTATATCAATAAGCTGCTTGCTCACCTTGTAAATCAAATGGTAAACTGATGTTTTCAGTACAGGCCTGGATTTGGGGGATGAAAATGTTGCCATTCATTCTGGCTGGAAGCTTTCAAAAGTGCATCCCCGCTGGTTACTTTGTGACACAAAATGCTGGACTAGATGGCCCTGCAGTTTGATCCAGCGAAGTTCTTGTGCCATGATTGTTTCACTTAAATTAGATTTCTGCAGACAAATGATTACAAGCCATTAGGCTAACTGCATGGGACTGTGGTGGCCTTTCTGGACACTAGAGTTCTGTAGTGTCATTTTTGGAAGAGTACAGTACAAGTAAAATAATAATATATATAAAAAAGCAAGTCCTCTTTCTTGCTCTCAGTGTGTCTCCCTTTATCACATTTCAAAAACAAAAATAAAGCATGTGCTCAGCTATTATTAGCTTAAGCGCAAGAGTAGCTTCGTACAACTGACTCTGCAAATTGAGAGTATGTTTAACTTTGCAAAAGGAAAATGCCTGTCTGCAAAGTTTTAGGGTGCCTGGTATATTATCAATTTTGTTGATTCCTTCTCATTCTAAAGAAAATGTAAGTCTATTCCTGTTAATGTACAGTATGGTGGTGAAAGAGAGGATCACTTTTTAAATATTTGCATTATTGGTGGATTAGATGAATTTGTGGCTTTATAGTATATTTTGTTCCTAACTACACTTACATCAGACTTCCTGTGTTGTGTAATTGTTGCCATAGCACAAAGTTACTGGAGATCTTTTAAGTTTTTCCAGTTAATAACAGGATGGCATTTCATTTCTTGGTAAAATTCTGTTAGTTGCATAATTGCCAATACAATTAGAACCATGTTAAACTTTTTTTTTCCTGCCCCACCCTTAAAGTACTATTAAATATTAATTTTAAACCACCCATTTGGTTTTTATGAAACATTTTCTGATCTCTTTTCTTAAGTATAAACTAATGAGGGAAGCAGGGTAATAGTAAAGTTTTCTTTTAGTTGCTGGTAACACCATGGCCACTATGTCTACGTAGTTTTCTGGGCACCAATAAGAATTGTTTGCCAATGCCTTCTGCCATGACTGATTTTCCAGTCTAGCCTATAGTTCCAGAGATTTTTAGAGGCTCCCTATCCTGGTCCTAAACAGAATTGATCTGCTTTATGTTTTGAGGTGAGCCTTCATTGGCTAAGTACTGTTTATTTATTGATAATATTTATAGTTAATTATGCAAATCTTGATTTAATTCATTATATGATATTAATAGTTATATATAGGGATAGAATAACAAAATGAAAATCATGCTGATGTCATAGTGGTGAACCCACCCCCCACCCCCATTTTGTGACATACCACTCCCTATATTGCCAGCACTTCATACCCAGGTCAATTTTATTCCAGCTTATGTTCAGCCCTGAATTTAGTTGGATTTGTTTTGTGGATATCCAACCCCTTAATTGTTTAATGTTTTATATTATTTTAACTTATTGCATACTGGTTTTTTTATTTTGTTTGCTTTGACTTTGTACCTTGTCCAGAATTCCTTAGGAATAGCCTACGCTATGCATATTGTAAAGTAAATATGCTAAAAGAACATTTAAGACTAAGTCAACTCATTTCCAAAGTACCAAATATTTTGGCTGAATTTTTCACAACTAGGGAACAGTGTAGGGGAGAGAGAAAAGGTTGCCGCTTGAATACAGATGTCTTTATGTGAGGGATATCCCTAAAAATTCTCTTGCTGATGGCTTTGTGGTCTGTTTATAATCTTTAAATGGATATATAGAATAGAATTTCATATTAGAAGTCTACTCCTATGGCCTCTTCTTTCTCCTTCCCATGGGGCCAATGCTAATAACTACCCTGTGGAATGGTTTTACACATTTCTTTTCATAATATATACTGTATTTTATTTACAATATTTAGATTGCAATGAACTCAGAAGAGAGAGGGAGGAAAACATGCAATATGCACAATGATGTTTGCTCAGCTGGTCTCTTGCTTTCTCCATTCAGGTCATCAACACTAATGGCCCTTTGCAAAATCTTCAAGTTTATTGTATTTTTTATTTAAATGCTATATTGAAAGCTGCTCAGAGATAAAGCAATACCAAGCAGATTGCTTTGCATATCCCAATCTCACTAGAGATCATCCACAAGCATCAACATACTACTAAAACTCTTGTGTGTGGTTGTAATCTTCAAGTGGATGAAACATAGGACACTGCTTTTTTAATCAACATACCTCAAATGGGATAATTTACACAGTGTGTACAAAATGTAGGACCCATGACTCCTGTAGGATTGACATTTTGTAAAGTTGTGGCCTCTGTTACACTCACCCATGGTCATGTGATTGTCATTTCCAATATTCCCTGTCAGCTTTCTACAAGGAAAGTCAATGAGGAAGACAGAAGTCACTCTCATTGCTTTTCTGCCCTGCTCATGGTCATTCCGTTTCTCTGATTAGGTAAGGAAATATCTCTGAAATGATGACCCAATGAGTAACACATTGTTTTGTAATCTTGTGGCATACCTACCGTGTTTCTCATATAATAAAACCGGGTCTTATTTTTTTTTGAGCCCCCCAAAAATGGCTAGCCCATCTTTTTGGGGGTGACTTAATTCCCCCCCCCTTGCATCTTCGGGCGGGCGGGCAGCGATGGCTTGGAAGTTGACCTCGGCGTTGGTGGGTCAGTGCAGGCAGCACCATATCCGGGTGTGCAACAAAAGTACTTCCTAACGGCAAGCCCCCCCACCATTCCCCCTCATTTCGCATGTTTTAATATAGGCCTTAATTTGGGGTGGAGGGGCTTAATTTCATTTCATGCCTATAAAACATGCTGGGACTTCCTATTGGGGGAGGCCATATTGTTGGAGAAACAGGGTAGGTCTGAACTAAGAATGGGATTAGTTTAGAAAATCTATTTCCCCAGGAATTTCTGCAGCTGATCCCCCAACGTTGTCTCAAAAATTTTCCCAAGAAAGGGTTGGTTGAAGATTAGTCGATAGTTGTCCTGAATTTCCAGTCTGAGCCATCGTTTATTGAGGAAGAAGTATATCACCAACCTTCTCCTAAATGGGGGACATTGTTTACTCAAGGATGCACTTAGCAGTGTACCAACCCATCACTGACTCATGCCTTGGAGCCTTTTGCCAATCAGAAATTGAAAGGATCCAGATTACAGATGTCCTGTCCACATTCTTCAAGCTAATTGCTAAAGATTAATATAAATAAAAGCTACATTTTTTTTGTACCCGTGTTTCTTAAATTACTTAACAGGCTACAGTACTTCCATGTACTTCCTCTATTTTAAGAACTACATTTCTTCCTTTGTAGTTTATTCATTGGTGCTGGAATGAGAACAAACAAAACTATCTTCTAATTAAGAGATCCTATGATGCTTGTCTTATGATGCTGACTTGTTCACTTTTATATGAAAAAAATTAACTCTTTCATTTTGCATTTTCTTGGCTACAAATAAATATAGTGTTGATCTGAGTTAAACTAGTTCAGTGGTTCCCAACCTTTTTTTCGCCCCACACCCCTAAAGAAATTTCACTCGAACCTCGCACCCTCTGAAATAAATAATAAATAAAAATGCCAACATATAGCCAATATCCTATTATTTACCTGGACTTTTCTCGCACCCCCTGGGTGAGGAACCCCAGGTTGGGAACCCCTGAACTAGTTAATAGAGGCTCCAATAATAGTAATACTGTTGTCAATTTATATGTTATCATGGTAGTATTATCATGAATTAGATATTTGGCTATCTACTTCTCTATTTTCTTCCATAATTACATGCAAAAGCTAATTGTACAACTGGTCCATAAAATGTATATCGCATAGTCTTTTGAAATTATCTGCATAAATTCATATCTCTGTCAAGTAATATTCATTAATAAAAGTTGCATACTGGAGATTCTACCCAACATTCTGATGCAGTATTTCATTTACACATTGTATAACACCAAATACTTACCATATGGTAACTATAGCATATTTCTTAAGCATTCATGAAAGTTCACAAAGCAATAAAGCAATATTTAAAGGTATCTCTAAATCTCAAATTTTTGAGAGATTAATCATAAACTAAAACATAATAAACAGTTTGTTTTTGTTATTGGTATATTGAGTAGAATGTCATATTTAGAGGCAATCTTCTGGAATATTTTGCTTTTTAGATTATTTTTATCCTTAATTACTTTAAAAGTAATTCAAGGTGGTGAACACACATAATATTTCTTCTTCCTCCTATTTTTTTCTACAACAATAACCCTGTGAGATAGATTGGACTGAGAGATAGAGACAGTACTAATTGGACCAAAGTCACCAGCTAGCTTTCATGCCTAACATAGACTAGAACTCACCATCTCCTGATTTCTAAGCCAAAACCTTAATTACTACAGCAAACTGTTCGGAAAATCAATAGTGATCAAGCTCCTGTTGTGAAAGAGATATAGGGATATGTATGCTATTCCATTTTAGTAAAAAAAGCTAGATCAACATACTTGAGCATTCACTAAATGTGAATCTAGTCCTTTAGGGAAAAAGAGTAGTTCTAATCTGAATAATTTGAACAATATCTACATAAACTACCAAAGTCATTCCAGGATAAACATTCAATTTACAGAATGCAAAAAAGATAACTAAATTGCTTTTAATTAATTTATTTAGTCATATAATTCCAGAGATAAAATATTTTACAATTACTGTAAAATTTATTATTTATTTATTCATCACCCATCTCTCTGTCAAGTGATTCTAGGTACAATGTTCCCAAAGTACTGATATTCTTAGGTGGAACTAAAACGATATTTGTTCTTTAGCATAAGCACATAATGGGGTGTCAAATGATAACCTAGCAAGGTCCCTTTCTGAAAACAGTCCTTAGAAATGAGCCACCAAAACATCTGCGTCCTACTTACAAACTAAACTGGAAAGATACCATGTGGTTAATGGTACTGAAAGCTGTTAAGAGATTTAGGGAAACTATTCCAGCTACACCCTGCCTGACCTTTTCTACATATCATCTGTCAGGCCGACAAAGATAGTTTGTGATAAATCAGATTGCAAAGGATAACAAATTTCAGGAATTGCACAGGCATCGCTTGCTTAAACATGTTACCGAAGGAAGGCTTTTTCATCGAGGATGCAAATCCTTAGTAGCCAATCATTATTTTTTCTTACATTATTGCCCCTTCCCCTCAAGTTCTGAAGCTGTGAGGAGGAAAATTTTCTTTAACACAGAATTTGAAAAACCCTACTGTACATAAGAGTGCCTACAACATATTGGTGGGAAAGAAAGGGATGCTCCATTATGCTGAGGCTGAAGCAAACAGCTTCTGGAATCAAGTAATATTTATCTCCAGGCTACCTGAGGCACCATCTTATCCAATGGGATTGGCTCGTCCCACCTGCAGAGGTTTATGAGAAGAACATTCTCTGCCGCACCTTCCCTCTGGAGCATCATATCCCCTCTGTGAGATCTGCACCCACCCCTTTGATCTTTCAGAAGGGCCTTAAAACCTGGTTCTCTAATTGGCCTGGGTCCTGGATGCGGGTGTGTCATTCTAGAGGTGGTTACTGGATTAGAAGATTTCACCACCATTTTATTGTATGCCTCTCTGTTATTGCTTTGTTAATTTTATTGTATTTATTACATTACTGTTTCAGTCTTTTATAATATTGTTTTATTGAATACAGAGAGATGGGTGATAAATAAATTCGATAAATAAAGTTAAATAAATATACCAATATAATTGGCAACTCTGGGAGCAAATTCTTGTCCTTTGTCTTCTGCTCCACTTTAAACATAATGGAAATACTTTGAAACCTGGAAACCCATTCATAAATCCATGTTATGAATCAGCAGAGTATGTATAATTGCTATTGTGCGTTTTTCCCTATTTGTTTTTTCTACTAAAGAGATAATTTAAAAGTTGAAAATGTTTTGAGTTCTCTTTTCCCTTCCCAGAGCAATAGATTGCTGCTGTGTTGTTTACTTTGGAAAACCATGCAAAAAATGAGTGTTGATTCTTGTCACATTGAAAGTCACATTGTATTAATACTTTTATATATCTGTCCTTTGAGTATAGACTAGTAAGATAGGACAACAGTTACAGAAAATGGTGTATATTGTATTTTAAAAGCCGTGCATGCCTATTTTAACATTCTAGCTAAATAAACCAGAAGAGAGGGTTTTTTTTACTAATATGAAGAATAAAAAATACTAAATGAGTAAATTGAGGCAAACTTTTGTATTTTTTTTTCTATTTTTGCTGATCAATATGTTTTGCTCATATCTTGAGAAGTGCTTTTGTTTATTTAATCAATGTAGTTTACAGAAGAGAAACTTGGGCAAGCAGAGAAGACAGAATTGGATGCTCACCTAGAAAATCTTTTGTGTAAGGCAGATTGTACAAAACAATGGACAGAAAAGATTATGAAACAGACAGAAGTGTTGTTGCAACCAAATCCAAGTAAGAGCAAAACTTTATTTCTCTTTTGTCATTAACTTATTTGCATTTTGATAAGTTCTACATGCATATATAATGTAACCTGAATTATTAACTTCAGAAAAACTAGCATGTAATTTTTCATGAACCCACATGTCATCTTTCAGTTGTTTTATTAGGTACAAATTATGCAATAATTACAGAACTTAAAATGTTAACTATAATGATAAGCTTACAATTTTGCAGAATAAATTGATTCAAAATTAAGACCAAACTTATAATTTCTTAAGTGATTAGGATGGAATAAAATTGATAGTATGACACTCTGAATGTCAGAGGTTCAAGGTTTATTGAACCAGAAATAACCAGCTGATTATTCAAAGTTCATGCTACTTTAATTAAACTTAATTCAGTTCTACAGTTCTGAAAATTGATTTCTTAAAAGCCTTTCTTATTGCATTTACACCCCAGCTTTCATTGAGTACCTTAAGGCAGCATTTAGCACTCTTTCCTCTATCTATTCCTCACAGTATCAACCCTTTCAAACAGGTTGGGCTGAGAGAATATGATCAGACCAAAGTCAGCCTGTGAGCTTATATCATTGAGGAAGAACTTTAACCTGATCTTCCTTCTCTTTCCTTGCCCTAGCCATCATATTGTACTGTCCTTCAGCAATAATTTATTTGATTATATTGTTCTTCTGGGTGCACAATGGCTCAGTGGTTAAAGACATTGAGCTTGTCAGCTGGAAAGCTTACAGTCTGGGTTTGAGACCGAGTGCTGCACGACGGGGTGAGCTCCCATCCTTGCCTCCTGCCCGCCTAGCAGTTTGAAAGTGTGTGAGTTGGTAAATAGGTACCACTTCAGTGGGGCGGTAATAGTGTTCCATGCACTTCGGCATATAGTCATGCTGGTCACATGACCATGAAAGAGTCTTTGGGCAACTCTGGCTCCTTCGGAGATGAGCACCGCCTCCTAGAGTTGGACATAATTAGACAGGGAAAACTTTTATGATTACCTTTATTATTATTACAAAATGTACAAGTTTGGTTGTATCTGTAGTCATCAAGTTACAATGGCAATTGGGGCCAGATTTCTATTGTTAAGTGATGTGATCATAAAGTATGTCATGTGACCAGATTGCTTAGCAATGACAGTCCCAGTTGCCATTGTAACCCAGGTTGTATAGATCATTAAATGGGAAGAGGTGGAAGTCCTAGGAAGGTAATGCAAGGTTGCCATGGTGGGGTCAGTGCAGGGTGTAATTGCTACACTGTAAATGTGTGGCTGGGGAGGGTGCTGCAAGTAGGCACTACAGAGTGAGGGTGGATGAAAAAATGGCAGGAGTGACTTTGATTTCCTGCCAGCTTCCCCATTCACTTTGTTTGTAGGAAGCTGGCAGGGAACATCAAAAATTGCAATCATGTAACAGGGCTCCAAATTGCAAGGCAGGCACCCAAGCATCCAGATCACATGACTCTTGGGATGCTTTCTCCAAGGATTGGTCACAAATCCCATTTGTTCAGTGCTGTAATAGCTGTGAATGATTGCTGAATGATTGGATGCAACCCGGTGTGAGCCTCCCAAGTAGACAAGACAGGAAATATGACAAGATGAATTAATTCTAATTTAACATAAGGCTATATTTACATAATTGGCAAGTTTGAAAGTACAAGTCTCCTGCTGTCTTTTTTTTTACCTCTGATAAATTAGTATGGATTTTATCAAAGTTTCTTTCTCTGTCTGTTACTCAGTTCTGGACTTTTCCTTTTAACTGAAATATGTAGCCTTTTCCTAGGCAACATATTTCTCCCCACCTCACTCCCCACCTCTTCCAAGCTCATTCTCACATTCCATTCCATCCAAGAATTACCTGTAATGAAGAAATGATATGTTTTATTTTTTGCCAGATGCTAGAATAGAAGAATTTGTTTATGAGAAACTGGATCGGAAAGCACCAAGTCGCCTGAATAATCCAGAACTACAGGGCCAGCATATGATTGATGCTGGAAATGAATTTGGCCCAGGAACAGCATATGGTAAGTTGCAGCTATTATTTTATATGACAGGAATGTCTGAAATGAAGTTAACTAGATACTAATTCTATGATGAACAATTTATCTTCGTTGTAAGTGTTCTATAATTTTACGTTTTGAAGCTATATGCTGGGTACTGAAAACAATATTTCGAACATACTATAAAAATTGTTGTAGTATTTAAATATGTAATAATACACAACTAAGGGTGTCCTTTGTCAACACTTCTAGATTAAATACTTGTAACTGTAATTATGTCTATATTGCTACTTAAAGCATGCAATCAATTTTATTGCAGGAAATGCTCTTATTAAATGTGGAGAAACACAGAAAAGAATTGGAGCAGCAGACAGAGAACTAATACAGACCTCTGCAATAAATTTCCTTACACCTCTTAGAAATTTTATTGAAGGAGACTATAAAACAATTACTGTAAGTTATTAATATAATTTCTTAATGAAACTTGGAAGTAATTCTGAAAGCTCAAAGAAAGGATTTTTATTGTTGTAGTTGAGCATTTGGTATCATCATCAAGAAACGTAACACAATCTCTGATATGCAGCCTTCTGTGATATAAGAAGGAACAAGAAATTGAAATAGTTATGCTTTTTCATTTTTATGAAATAAAACTGAATCTTTTTTACATTTTGTCCCAAATAATAATGTTTCTTTTTTTTACAGAGAGAACGCAAACTATTACAAAATAAAAGGCTAGATTTGGATGCTGCCAAAACTCGACTGAAAAAGGCAAAAGTAGCAGAGGCTCGTGCTTTAGTAAGTAAGATCTGCTTCTTAAGAACTTCACAATACATAATTTTGTATTTAAATAGCATTTTGTCTCGGTTCTTCACAATTCAGATATTGCTGCTAATAGCAGAAAAGATAGAAGATTTTAAACTCATTTGATCTTTTATAATCATGTATATCTTTGAAAAAAATCTGTCCAGGTTTTTGGAGTGCATAAAGTATTTATTTATATATTAGATTTTTTTCTCCCTCCTTTATTATTTTGAGTAACTCAAGGCAGTGACTATACCTCCCTCTTCCTATTTTTTTCTCACAACAACAACCCTTTGAGGTGGGTTGGGTATTGCAAGAGAAAATAGGAGCCAGCAAAACACTTCCACCAGCAGAATGCTTTAGCTGGATGAAATGCTTATTATGGATATTAGGAAACCTTTCATTTGCAGAACAGGAAGTCTGGATTCAGTCCTTTAAAAACAGTCACTGTAGGTTCTTATTTTTTTTAAAGTCATATAACAAGGCTAAAGGGTTTGTGGCTGTGAACATATTAGTAGAAGAACTTTGTTCCACTTAAGGTGAGACCTCTAGGAATTCAGACTGGTGTAAGAAAGACTATGAAATGTTACTTCCAAGTACTTAGTTTCAAGAACAGGAGAAATTTATATTGGCTTTACTTCTGAGATGTTCTGGCGAGAAAGAGCTGAATACAATACAGCAATGCTTGAATCATAATAACCAGGCTATGCAGAAAAAGCTGAAGATGATGCATTTACTAAACTGTTAACAGATACAGTGCATCAAAGGCACATAGGTAGATAAATATGTGACCACCTCCATCTAAAAAAGGGATACAATCACCATCCAGAATTGAAAACTATCATAAACTGATGAAAGCATTGTCCTGATTGTCTTCAGGTGTATGTTTGTGTATTAGATATACAAATATAATTATGCATTATTAAATATTGCCTACTTTCAAAATTTCATTTATAAAAACAAAAACTAAGAATATCCAAATGCTGCCAGAAAAAACCCTGCATTAATAAAAAAGTGTTAACTGAAAATACTCATCCAATTAAAAATACAGCATTGAGGGTCATTGTGGGTGGCCAGTATCATTACAGAATTGGGTGGTTTTATGCATTTTTAAATTAAATAAAAGCACAACACAACAAACCTGTCTTCTTGGCTTGTGGAAAGACATACTGTGTGTATATATGTGCATTTCAAATAAGAATTGTTAGCCTTTGCAGGCTTTCACTGTATCTGTGTGGCACCTTCCTTATAGGCTGTTTTTAAAGAAAAAAGCTGCTCTATTATATATGTATGTATTTATTTGTTTAGAGCAGCTGACAAACTAGGAAGAAATCATTTGTACTTCTCTTAATACAACTACTAGCAACTGTTAATTCAAATATATAGCAAAAATGGCTTAAACTGAAAAAAACAGATATTAGTGTTTTCCCCCTTAAGATTTTTGTGATGCTATAATGACTTGTGTCTAAGTGAGTGTTAGGCAACATTTTTTATAACCAACAGCTACCATAATATTTTTAGGAGAGGCCATAAAAGGAGTGAATCCATATTATTACAGGTTGAAAGCTGAGAGAAAGCTTGAAGCTTTCTCTCTCTTTCCATCTCTCTGTCTGTTTTTCTCTCTCTCCCCATCTCCCTCTCCGTACCTTCCTTTCTCCTCTATCTATCTATCTATCTATCTATCTATCTATCTATCTATCTATCTATCTATTTATCTATCTATCTCTTGTGCCCTAGCGCAAAATGAGAAGTAACCACTATCAGTTTTCAGCAATAAAAGAGATAGATTTGTAGAGCCACCCAGGAGACCGGATTTCCTGTCTCTGACCTAAATGATTGCAAAAGCCATGAGGCTTCCTGAGGGAGATCATGCTTAAAGAAAATACATTGAAAACCTTCTAATTATAGGTGGTTCTTGTTTAGCAACTACCTTATTTAGCGACTCTTTGCAGTTGCAGTGATGACATAAGAGTAACTTTATAATCAGTCCTTGAATTTGCAACTTTCATAGGTCTGTAAAGCAAAGTAAAGCTAAAGTCAGATCATTAGCACAATTGTGATTTCACTTAGCAACTACATTACTTAATGACTGGGTCGCCAGACCCAAATAAGTTCTGTTTGCTAAATGAGGACTATGTGTACTATCTAAGATGTGTAAGGCGTAAGTGATGATCTAATAGTACAGATAAAATGGTTTGGAGGTACTGAATTCTGTATATTGAAAAGCATTAAAAAATTATTCAAGAAGTGTCACTGCTCAGACAATATGTTTCTTATATCTTTGGCTCTACCTACTGATACTGCAAACTAATTAAATTGATCTACATTGCATTTTCTAGCTTTTTTCCACAATATAACATCATTTTATCTTTATACTTTAAGCAACTAAACCTGTCTCCAACTGATGAAAATAATATTATGGTAAATGTCTCTTACATGCTCAACCTGCTGCATGTAAAATGGCTGAAAGTATGTTGGCCTCTTGTCTTCATAACATTTCTTCAGGTGTTTCCTCTTGCTTTCCTGCTGATCAGTATTATTTATTTAGATGAAGAACCACATCAGTGACCATGTTGGTATACATACATACATAGGGCAGGTAGAGATATGTCTCAAAGAGAAGTTTGCTGATTGAAAAAAAAACTAATCATTTAAATAATTTTATTCTGTTTCTTCCAAGGTGCTGTATATATTTAGAAAATAATACATATGCATGCATGAATCCCCATTATATTATTAACCTTTAGGATGAGCAGCAGTATTTAGAGTAGTGGTCCCCAACCTTTCTGGCATCAGGGGCCAGTTTTGTGGAAGACAATTTTTCCACAGACTTGTGGGGGAGAAGGGATGGTTTCATGCACAACCTAGATCCCATGCATGCGCAGATAAAGCTTTGCTAGCTTGCCCACTGCTAGTATGGCCTAGCATTCAACAAGCCACAGACTGGTACCTGGTCATGGCCTAGAGGTTGGGGACCCTTGATTTAGAGCATAGAAAATAGGTAAGAAAGAGTAAGCTAGAAAAGGTACAAGGTTAAAAAAAAGATATATTAGTAGTAGTAGTGTTAGTATTATTTGATTTAAATCCACCTCTGTAGGTAACTTAAGGCAGTGATATAATACTTGTTCCTTCTAATTTCCTCATAACAACAAGGTGAAGTGGTCTTGGCCAGAACCATTCATTATATGAGGAACTCATCAACTCCATCCTACACATTTCTTGATTTTCCTCTTCCCCATTCATTCTACTTTCATAAATTTCTGTTACATTTTCTATAACTAAATTACCTCGACATATTTATTTTATACTTGTTTATATAAATATATACATTTATATTCAATCCACTTTCACTAAGCACCCATTCATTTTTTATTGTTCTCTTATTTTACCACATATACTTCTTTAGTATTCCAGTCCCCCTGCATTCACATTTTATGTTTCTTCTGATATCTCCCAACTTTTACTTTCATCTAGCAATGTGGGCAAAAGCATGCTTGTATCAACAAACATTTATTCCTCACGTCAGACCTCGTACTTTTACTAATTAATTATTTAATAGAGGTGGGAGTCAAATAGAGGAATATTAAGATGTGCTTACAGAAAGACAGCAGACGGCATGTGGTCTGTTATGTGGGATGAATGTTTGCTGAAAGAAATGACAGTTTTTACATAAGAAATTGTTCATTCTTCTGAAATTTCAAATAACTTTAAAAGCTCTTTATTCACAAGTTTGATATCTTTTAAGGCCTTGTGAAAATATTTTGACTCATCTCAATACTACAATAGAAGCTTTTGATGCATATATAATTTCACAGGAATCTTTTAGAACAGAATTACACTACTTAAAATGCAATACTAAGCATTAAAAAACATAATACTATAATTGTGAGTGCTAGCAATTTGAATATTGTATTGTCTTTAATGCATAAATATAACAAAATAAGTGGGTCCTTTTTGGTATCCATTGGGTTGGTCTAAATTATTGAAATGTCAAAGGCAGGCTTGAATAGCAAGAGAAATCACTTCTGTTTCCATTATTGTTTGTAGTAGTGGTATTTTGAATAGATTTGGCTTATATAAGCCATTTTTCAAAATAAATGTCATCCATCTTGTCATAATTCTGTCAATAGCTGTTTAGATTGTATTCTTTTTGTTGCTTTCAAAGATATAGGGTATCTTTGAAACAGTTAGGTAACAGTTAGGATTATTCTTTTGACACATTTAATTCATTGGATCCAGAAGTTTATAAGGGGGAACATTACTCATGAGAAATGAGGAATTTTCTCTCTATGTATGTACAAACCTCCTACTCTATGTCCTACTTCACCTTTAAAATATTGAACATTATGGAGGAGTCAAGAGACATCTGGCAAGAAAGAAAGTAAATCTCCACTGAATCAAAGCTCAAAAGGACCTTTCTAGAAAAGACACCCTGGATCCAAATACTGAACGTCTATTTAAAAAATACCCTTATTTGTTTCAAGTTTTAAGCTGCTGACAGAATGTTGAAGATCCCCGTTTCCACATTTTCCTTTCCTACAAATTGTTTTTAAACACCACGAGGAAAATTATTGCGTAAAGGTCTTATCTGGCAGTAAAAGCATAATAATATATGTATATTATAAATAAGGATAATGATGATAATAATTTTGGAAAATCATCCTGTAAGAATCTACATAGTAATAGGACTATCAACTATAACAGTATTCAGCAGATTGAACTTCAACTGATATCAAGCTATGGTCATTATATTATAAAATAAATCCATGAAATGATCATTAATTCATATCAGGAGAAAAATGAACTATGAGGAAAACATAGCAATATAAATTCTTATTGTTTCTTTACATTTTTATGCTTACAAGATATGGGCAGAGGAAGTGACGAAAGTAAGTACTCCTAAGTGAAAGTGTTGATTAAGAAATAATGCTGAATTGCTGATGTCGAGAGATAAATATTATTGTTTAATTCAACAGTCAATGGTGTGGTCAGGGCAAAATGATAAACAATTATAAAAAAAATTCCAAACATATATGAATTCCATAGCACATGGTAATTTTGATTTGTTGCATGGGATAAGAACTTGCTTGATTAGTGAGCTTCAGTCTCCAATTCTATATTTGAAATGTATTCAATACTACTTCTCACTGGAACTACATAGCCTTGTTTGGGCACTCATTTGTTTTGAGAGTTTAAAATGGAAAGGGAATGGGACATGTAGACAACCTTGTTGCCAATATTTTCCCAAATTGTACCTTCTTACAGGTAATCTAAAAGAAACATGTATAGAGGCACTCATTTAAACATGAATATCTCTGTCAGGGTGATTTAGGACTATGTTACATTGAATTGGAATATACTGTAGCTGTTTTTCAGAACTCAGTTCCTGAATTATTTTCTTCTTTTTTTTTAATTTTCAAACAAACTTTATTTACAAAGATTAAAAACATACAAGTTTAAAAAATACAAAAACAATAATGTGTATAATAACACATTTTATTTGTTATCGAATTCAATAGTCCTAATAATCATTACTAAATGATACTTATCGCATTTTCATTTACTATTACATGTGAGTCACTAACTGACTCACAATACTCATTTTCTTGTTGATTTATAACTATTATTTAATTGGAAATACATTCATATTATTTAATTAATGAATAAGAAGATATAGTAAATATATAATAGTAATAAAGTAAGAGAAAAAGAGATTTAAAACCTTTGTTATTCTTATGTATTTCATATAATCCATGTAATAAAATTTGTTTCTTGGGTTCATTTACATATTTTCCCCTTCTTATCTACCCAGATGTACCATTTATCCCATATTCTGTAATAGTCTGTATCCTCCTTCCCATTAATTTTGAGAGTGAGTCTCTCCAATTGGGCACACTCATACATTTTTGAATGGCAACATGTATCAGTGAATTATTTTCAATATAGTTTCGCTGAAAATGTTTTTTAAAAAAACTTTTTTGTCAATATAGCCTTTAGACTTGTAATAGGTTTGCTTCAAGACAAAAACAAAATGCTTAGGTATTTTGGGAGCTGGCTGTTCAGTCCAATGAAGGACCACCATTTATTGAACAATGGGTTATATTTTGCCCACAGCATAAGTAAATTTGTGTTATCAATACTCTGAAAAGTTGTAATATGTTTTTCAGTCTGAACAGGAAGTACGGATAGCCCAAAGTGAGTTTGACCGGCAAGCAGAAATTACTCGACTTCTGTTGGAAGGGATCAACAGTACACATGTAAGTACACATGTAAGATAGTTTTGCTTAATTGTTAAGGGTAAGAAAATAAAAAACAATTATAACTAAATGTTAAGATTATATCCTTGTCACTCCTTTAACTCTTCCAGATCATCTGCTACAGTAAGACTATGGTAAATAAAATACGCTGTACAATTTCTAAAGATACGAGTTTTTCCCTTTGCCCCATTTAAAATGAAAATCTGCAGTTTAAGTCCAGAGTCTTTGTTTAGTGACCACTCATTCGGCATCCATTTTAAGTTACAACAGTGCGGAACTACCGGTAGTGGGACATTACAGGTGGTTTTCAAAGTTCCAATCATTGCGGAGTCTTCATGGTCATATGATTTATGATTAGGGTTTTGGATGACTGGCACACAATTACAACAATTGCAGAGTGCAGCATCATGTGATCGTCATTTGCGATCACTTAACAACAATAGGAAATGCTGCCACTGCATGGTAAGTTGATATGGTCATATGATATCATATTCTGACTCTATATCTTAGCAGTGGACCTGTTAGTCCCAATTACTGTCATTAACAAAGAACCACTACATTAGTGGTTATCCTATGTTAATTGTCTTATTTGTAAAATTTACCAATTTCATGTCTGATAAAGGAAATCCTTAAAACATTAATTTCCCCATATTCTTCAAATTAACATATTTTTAAATGATGGAAACATCCTGTAATTTTGTTAATATTTATGTTTTATTGTATCATAGGCACATCATCTTCGTTGTTTAAATGATTTTGTGGAAGCTCAGCTGACTTACTATGCACAATGTTACCAGTATATGTTGGACCTTCAGAAACAGCTTGGAAGGTAACAAAATAATCAAATATTTAGTTGTGTGTCTAAACTAAAGAGATAAAATTAAATAGAATTGGCAGGTTTTTAAAAATCTTGCTAAGTGACTATTCAGATTTCACAATAGTGCAAATCCTTGAGAATATCTTTCTGGAAAATTTCTGTTCCCATAACATCAAAGTTCAGTATTTGATCATTATAGGATTTAATTGCATACTTTTTCTCTGAAGCAAAGACAAGGGTTTTTTGGAGTTTGTATGACTAGTCATCCAGGACAGTTTGAATCGAATATTTTGTAGCTTGTATAATTTTGTTATTTGAAAGTGTGATACAACTTCCAGTTTGAGCTTCTTCGGCAACAGACCGAAATCCGCAATCTTGCGTGGTTTCTATTCGTGCTCACCACTGGAGCGCCCTGAGCCGGCTGGATTTGGGGCTAAGTGATCCTGTAGAGGTAGTGAAGAGGAGGGAGACCACTAGCAGGGTCGAGGAGAGCAGCATCTCTCCTCCTCAGCTGGCCATTACTCCCTTTCCTGAAGGCGGTTGCAGCAGTGGTCAGAAATGGCCACCTCAAAGAAGAACTCAACCAGAAAAGAATGTGCAGGTGGAAGATAAGAAGAGAAAGTTTTGGTTGACTGGGTTAAACTGAAAAAGCAACAACGTAAGGTACTCTGGAATTTGAACTATAAAAAATAACATTGTTCCCAAAGAAGACTTTGAAGCAGCGAAGGAGAGAAGGAAGGGAAAGGATTTGGCTTTTTTTTCTTCCCTTCCTTATACTGACAGCTAAGAGATTTAAGTAAGAAATTGACAAAAATCCACTTTGACATCAATAGGCATTTAAGCTGAAAATAAAATGTCAAAGGATTAATAAAGACTTTTGGATACTCAAAAATCTTTAAAAGCAGGAAAGGAGAGAAAAGGAAAGAATAAAAGGGCGAGATCTGGAAAAATGGAGGAGACTGCCTGGAACTAAAAGGAACTTACAGTGAAACCTTAACAGGATTCCTAAAAGATACATTCTAACTGAAACTTTGTAACAAAATAATAGAACCCCAGGAAAAAAGAAGCAAGAAGAAACAGTTTTGGATTATTTGGATTACTTGGTGATTTTTGGATTTTTGGCTATTGGATTTAAATGACTAAAATCAATCAGGTGGTTGTTTAAAAGTGTTTAAAATGGCATCACTTTTAGAAGAACTAATAATCAAACTTAAAAAATAAAAAGATGCACAAGAAGGAAGAGTTTCTTTTGGCTTCATATTTCAATTTTTAGAAATGGAGATCTGGAACTATGAGAAACAAGAAGAAATGCTTGTAGAACAAGAAGGTTGGGACAAAGAAGAAGCCATCTTTAACGATCAAGTAATTTTATGTGGGAAAAAAAAGTAAAGGGGGGAAAGAGAGTGAAAAGTTTAAGATTTGAAAAAACAACCCCCCAAAAGAATAGTATGAAAAATAATTACAATATTAGGAAGCAACAGAAGAGAGGATCACAGAAGAGAGAATTAGAAGTAGAGAGACAAGAGGGCAAAAAGGGGAGGGAGAAGAAGAGGGTGAAGAAGGAAAGGAAAAGAAGTTATAAAAGACAGAAACAAGATATAGAGAAACAGGGAAAATGTATAAGGATTGAAAGTATAAGCCTATTTAGAGATAATGGGTGAAAATTTAATTGAAAAAGGGATTCTGCAAAGGTAGTATTATTATATTAGAAACAAATAATTTTAGAAAATATGAAACAATGTATGATTAAAATGATGGATAAAATACTTATTGTAATATAGTGGAATGTTAATAAATAAATGAAATAAAGTGAATGAGAGAATGAAATTAGGAAAGGATGGGAACATTTTAATTATTAATGATTTGTAAAAATATAAGTGAAGAGAAATATGGAAAAAAAAGAATTAATTTTGGAAAGTTTATAAGTGTTCACAAGGAAGTATGATATTCAATTGAAAAGAAATGTTAAAGATGTTAAATTCTAACTAATATTAATGATAGAATTGAATTGGAATGGAATGAGTGTTTTATTTACTATTCTTTTGTGTGTGTGTGTGTGTATGTACGTACGTATGTATGGTATTCAGCTTTGTTCGGGTATTTTCCCACGTCATTATAGTTGTGCTTTTAAAGTTGTAGCTACAACTTTAAAAGCACAACTATAATGACGTGGGAAAATACTCGAACAAAGCTGAATACCATACATGTAAGTACCCGCGAAAACCTAAGAATATGAATATATATAAAGAATAGTGTGTATTTTAAGAATGTACCAAGCAGAATTTGGCTGGAAGTTATGTACCATATTGAATGTTATAATTTTAAAGGCATAAATTGAAGTTTAAATAAGGGTTGAAAGGATAAAATTAAAAGATATAAAGGTGTCATACTCCAATTGGTAACTACAGGGGAAAATTTGTTTAATGAGAAAAGGTAATTGAACTTGAAACAGGACAGACAAAAGTATAAATATGATGATTGGAAAGACATTGAAACTTAGAAAAAGATATATAATTGAATTTAGATATGAGATAATTAAAAATAAAGTTGAGAAAACCAAGGGAGGGGAAAAATTATGGAGAAAATGTTAAAATAGTAATAAGATATGGAACAGAACATAAAGATGAATATGAAATTGAGTTTGTGTCTGTATGAAGAAGTGATAACCCGGGATCATGCTATTCTCAAAAAAAGATGTTTTATTTGTATTATGTTTTTGTGAAAACCCAAATAAAATTTATATTAAAAAAAAGAAAGTATGTTACAACACTCATGTTTATATGTAATAATTTTATGTTAATTCTTTATAGCTTTCCAGCTACGGTCCTTGCCAACAATAACCAGTCATCTTCAACCTGTGCTCCAAGTAGTTCTTCTAGTAATATGTCCTCAACTACTGTTACACCCTCACTATCTTCAATAAGCAGTGCAGTAGCTTCTACAAGCTTTGGTGAATTGAAGCCCTCAAGTGGTAGTAGAAAAGCCAGAGTACTTTATGATTATGATGCTGCAAACAGCAGTGAATTATCACTACTTGCAGATGAGGTACTCCTTTGCTATTTTTAAATAAAAGTAAATATTTTGTGTAAGTATGATATATCTGCCTTTTGTCTTGGAACAATTGCAGTGCGATCTGGATTTGAATGATATTACCATAATGCCTTTGCCTTGGTCAGGTTACTGTGTGTTCTCTTCTCTGTGGCTGCGAGAGTCCAGATAGAGTGGGAAGGCTCTTGTCCTCGCTGATTGGACTTAGTCTGCCTAACTGAGACTGCCACGCCCTAGTTTTCGACTCAGTCCCAGCTAGGACGGACATGAGAGTTGGAACTCCACTTCTAAATAAAGAAGTGGAGGTTTTTGCTTAAAAAAAGGAAGAAACAAACCACAGCTAAGAGCCACAGACCCTTTTTGCTCATGGTAATTGCCCCTTACTTTGCAGGTATTGTAACCCCATATTAGTCTGTCCAATATGGATTCTATGAAGTTTCAGGTGGACCTTAGATTTTTATCCCAAGGATCTGATGGATGGTTTAATTGTAGCCTTGGTTATTGTCTGGAATGGGCTGGATTGTTCCTTTGTAACGTCTTACTGTCCCTTTATCTGGAAGGGCTCCTTTTTTTTTTTTCTAGGAGATTAAAGGCTAAAACATTGTTGGAAGAGGACAGAGAGTAAATCTGACCAAGCATGAGTAAGAGCTATATCTGGGATTCCATCATGGCAATAAGGGTGACAAAACATGTTATTTTTTTGCCCTTGTTATGGCTACAGTTAAGCCACCCAACATCTTTCTTTAAAGTGAGTTGTTTCTTGCTGGGAAAATATGAGCCATTGAATTATTTGGAGGGTGGTGTGAGGAATTGCATCTGGCAGGTAAAGTTGTTTAGATTCACTCAGAAGTGGACTCTTAACTGGATAAGCTTACCAAGGTGAAAGAAACAAGGACCAGTGTTGTTTTTCTGGAGTGAGTTTGTCTCGTAACTCTTGTGAAAAGAGAATGGGTCTTCAAGGCTGTCAACCTGTCCACTTGTTAATTAGATCCATGCTCCACCTAAATAGTGAACACTGCCCAGGGATATCCTTGTGATAATATCAGCTTTATTCAGAGGGAATGGCACCATTTTCATTGAAGGTAGCATGTCCTCAAAAATCCTTTGCTGGATCCAACAATTCTGGATATTTTTTCATCTGATGTTTAGGTTTTCTACTCTGGGAACATCGTTTAGAACTTTAAGTTACAGCTTCAAGGGCTGTGGCAGATTTGGATTATCTAGAGCCCTTTCAGTCACATTTGAGACCAGGACTTAGTATTGAGATGGCATTGGTTGTGCTTGTTGATGACATTTGGCAAAAATCAGGGTGGAGTAGTACAATGATGTGGTTCTCCTTGATTTCCTGACAACTTTCTATACCATCAACCATGGGATCCTTCTTGATACCATGCGATTATTAGTAGTGGGAGGTTTAGCATCTGTGGTTCTTTCTCTGTGGTCAAGTCCAGTTGGTGTTAGCAGATGTGTGGGAGAAATCAAGGCAAAGACCCTGATATAGGACGTGAGGTGCCTCCTATTGCACATTGGATGAGTTTATCCATCAGTTTGGTGTCCATTCATACATGTTAAGTAGAAGAGCTTAGGCTGTCAAAATCTTAGGCTGTGCGGTTCTGGCTGAAGAGGAATAGCTCAACCTCATCCTGACAAGACTAAGTGGCTGTGGTATTTTGACTACCCTGATCTGAAGATGTTCTATCTAATGCCAGACAAAGTTACATTTTTCCAGTCAGGACTGATGTGCAATTAGAGGGAGTTTTGGATTCATGGCTCCTACATGAGGATCAGGTGGTCACTGTGGCCTGGGAGATTTTTGTACAAAGTCCTCTACTGTGCCATTTGGCACCTATGCCTGGATTGGGAGGCCCTTGAGATAGTCAATCATGCTTTGGTTTGCAGTGTGCCACACAGAAAGTGAGCTGGTTTGACATGTAGTGGCACAAGCAGTTATGGGTATGCCATTTATGCCCATGTAACCTCTCTGCTACATGAACTGAATTACCAGTCTTCCAGGTACATTCAGTATTTCTTTGACACCTATGAAGCTGTTCATAGAATGGGACCTGGTTATCTGAAGTCTGTCTTCCATAGTTACTGCCCACCTTAAATGATCTGGGAGAGTTGGAATTTTGTCCTTCCCTCAATTAAACAGCGTCATCTGGAATGATCCAGGAAATGGGTTTTCTCTTGTCACAGTACTTGCAACTCTTACTTTTGATATCGCCTAAAATACCTTGTTTTATTCTGCTTGCCAGTCAGAATTATGTTGGAGTAAGGGGACGTAGAGTTTACATATGTAAATAAATGTTTTCTTTATTGTTTCTAGGTGATAACAGTATACAGTGTCCCTGGCATGGATTCAGACTGGTTGATGGGTGAACGAGGAAATCAAAAAGGCAAAGTGCCTATTACTTACTTAGAACTGTTAAACTGAGTGGTTGGCTTGTATAAAGACTGTCAGTTATGGTGAGATCATATTTATATGCAATTTAACTTTATATAAACCAGATTTAAGTGTCTTCCATGTTAATGTCTTAATGGATGAGAGTAATGAGCATTAGAAATGGGCATTTCTTGCCAGTATTGTTGCATGGTAGATACTGTTTTGAGAACTAAGTTGTTTAAGGGCTTTTTGCTTTATGTGCCAAAATTGTTTCCTACATAACTTTGTTTCTATTGGAATTTTCTCTTAATAACAGTTTTCTGCTTTTGAGTACTCTGAACCTGAAAGCAGGGAAAACAGTTTTCTACAGAACTTTTCATAATGACAAGCCTCTTCACAATAATAAATTGTTGAAAAATTGTTGCCTTTTTTTTCCCTTGGCAGAACTGAAGTTGTAACTTTTAAAGGTCTATAACTCTACTTTTGTGCAACAAAACACTATGGCCTTAAATAAAAGTCTTCATAACAAGGTAATGTTGGGGTAGACATTGGGTTACTACAGGACAATGTCTATGGGATATTCTTTGCTTATTCTCCCACTTCCACACAATGCTCAGGTTTAATAGCATTGCTTATTAATACAAGCATCTTGGTCAATTGTTGATTGGATTACAAATGTCACCACTGTTAGTCACCTTGAATACAAAAAGAAAGGAATAACACCAAGATAATCAGAATTGGGAAGTCTTTTGTGAACTTGCCTCTGGGTGACATAGTAATTTATCTAGACAGTCTAAGTTTTCACCATTTATCATTATAATTTGCAATTGTACATTTCATTTTTCCAGTGAGACGTTTTTCCTTTTGTATAAGGGAAACAATAAGAGCTTTTTTCCAGTCAGCCACAGATAGTCTTCACACACATCCTGTCCAACCATTCCAAATACAGGCTATGACATTTCTCCAGTTGCACCAGAAATAAATTCCCCGTTTCACAATGCGACTATCTTCTTTCATGTTATCCTTGTAACTGAAGATCTTAAGTCATAAACACTATTGAGAAAGGAGATTGATGACACATCAGAAGCCAATCCTGAACAGGCAGCTCCTAGTCAGCTGATGATTGACAAAGTAATGGCTGCCAGAAAGAAACTGAGTATTTCAAACCCCCCCCCCCCCCCAATGTAAGCAGCATACATAAGCAATTGTAACTCGGGAATGTATACCTCTCTCCTCTCTTAACATTTAGTCATTCTCTGAGGAAGGTATCAGCACAGTTATAACTGAAGAAATCATCCTGAAACCAGATCCTGGGATTTTATGCCACAATAAACAACACACCAAATGAGGACACTGTGTTTTGGCCTTGTTTGCATTCAGCTCATACCATAATAACTATTTTTAAAAACTCAGTTACTGAACATAAAACGGATATTAAGACGTTTCTCATGTAGCTTCTCAAGGTATAATCAGTGGACTTTTTAATCTGAGAATAGTTTGGGTTTCTAACTACCTGCTTCAGAAGAGGATTTTCATTATCTTCAGACTACATCTTGGCTGAAAAATGCCACAGTGTATTAAAGCTTTCTTGGCCAACTTCCTTATTATTCCCATAGCAGTTTTTAAAGATTAAGCTTTATAATTGCTCCCCCAAAGCTGAACAAATTAGGGGAAGCTTGGCTCTGTTAAATTAGTGAGCAAGTCTTATCTATAAGTTACATGCTCATTATATGCTTTCCCGCTTTGCTTTGCTTTGGAAGAGCAGCTGTTTAACTTGATCTTTAAAAACTCCTATGGGAATACTAATAATTGGGCAATCTCAGTATCTCAAGTACTTCCCCCATAGTCCACATGAGGTACTAGGAAAGCTACAAAAACTGGCCCATATAGTCTGCAGTTGATAAGACTACTGGAAAGGGATGTGTACCTCTGTCTATCTCAAGGATTCCAATTGAGGGAAGGTTCGGGAACCGGAAAAATCCTTTGAAATGCTGTGTTTTCCAGTGATTGGATAAAGTAATGAGGAGAACCAGCTGTTAGCTTCCCCACTATAGAGTTTCCCCACCTAGTTTGGTTCATTCCCCACAATACACTATGACTCTGTCAAAAGGGAGAGTGAGATTCAGCAATGGGGAAGAATTCCATTCAGAGTACAGTGGATGATCGACTCTTGACGGTTGACCTCTAGTGATATGACACCATTATCTATTCATTTTGGTGATGAAGCCACACTTGGAAAGTAACTGCTTTTTAATAATAGAGGATACATTCAGCGAAACACAAAGAATGCAGCCGGTGTTCTGGACGGTTGAAAAACTTGATCCACCATACAAATCTTCACTAGCTTAATTTCTTCTGATGCCATGTAGACACATAGACATACTTGAACAACTACTGACTGCGTTTAACTCTAATCTGAGCACAGAGGAAAGGCACAGATGAGTTGATTCAAAGCATACATTGCCTATGTGGCTTGACCTTGAATGCATCAAACTAAAATTCAAAGATGTTTGTTTATAAAGAGGCACACCAGGTGGCCCTCCCTGCATTAAACTACCATGTAGAATTTCTTATAAAGACCAGATGCCAAAGCCATCATGAAAACAAGGCAGATGTAGATTCAGTCTGTCAGGTTGCTGAGCTTCATTCTTCTGGCATTTAACAACTTCTAATGCACTCTCAAACTCAGCCATCCAAGACCTTTATTGATACGGGGAGGCCCGTTATAAAGCCCTATCTCTGAATGTGTGTTACACAGCTATGTGTGTTACACAACACGGCTAATGAGTTGAAGTATCAGAAAGTATCTAATGAGTTGAAGTATCACAGTTTCAGTATCAGAAATGGCAAAAGTGATATCTGAAGATAGGCAAGACTTTAGGCTTTGGCCAAGTTCTATCAGAAGCAATAAAACTGAATTCACTCAGTTACCAAACTTAGCTTCCTGGATTACTATAGAGGAAGCTCTCAGAAAGAGAAACAGTATATACGCTATGCATACTGTGCATACATTTATGTATTATGAAGCTTAGTTTAAGAGAAGGTGGACACTGTATACAATTCTGAATCCTTGCCTTACTTCCCCACTGACTACTTGTCAGAAGATTGCAAAAGGTGATTACATAATCCTGGGATACTGCAACCAATCGTAAATATGAGTCAGTTGCCAAGCACCTGAATTTTGATCGTGGGACCATGGGGATGCTGCAAAGGTAATTGAGAAACAGTCATATGTCACTTTTCGGTGCCATTGTAAACTTCGAATGATCCCTAAACAAATGGTTGTAAGTTAATGACTACATGTATATATTGTAGTCATCTGAAGTGCAACTGCTTGATGAATGTAAGGATGAAACTACACATGTGCTGCTTTCTGGTGGTCAATGTATCTAAAGACATCTATGGCAGTGATGGCTAACCTTTTTGTCACTGCGTGCCAAAAGTGTGCATGCGCATGTGGGCATGTGTGCCTGCACCCGTAATGCAATGTACATGTGACCCTCCTATACACCACGTGCCTCTGCACACGGATGTGTAACCCCCCCACGCACTGTGTGCCTCTGTGCATACGTGCATACCTGCGTATGCCCTGCTCCCCCCACGCATGTGGGTCAGATACCCAATAATCAGCTGGGTGACGGCTCATGTGCTGGTAGAAATGGCTCTGTGAGCCACTTCCTGCACGCTTGCCATAGGTTCACCATCACAGCCATATGGGATTCACTACTTATCTGATTGAATCCTACTTCTGTGTTCTGTTCATCTGGCCCATCTGCTTGAATTGCCCTCAAGACAGGTGAAGTCAGACAGGTGAAGTCAATGAAAGATCTCATTCCCAGACACTGGTAATGAACTGTGTCAACATTTAAAAGTACTGGCCATAAAAGTACTGGCCTTCTCTTAAGTTGGCCAAGAAATGTGGATAAGAGAAGGGAAGACAAATCACACATGATGGAAATATGTGTAAAGCTGTGTACATTCCAATTCTATGTATTCAAGGATCCCTTATTTTATAAACTTATCCCTATTTTCCTGAGTTAAGTATTTCACAGCTGTCTTCAGCTGTTGACTGGATCTTAGGATTCAAGTGAAAAGTGAAGGTAATTCTGCAGACATGATATTTGCCTACTTTTGGATTTTAAAATGGTCAAAATTCAGCAGGTTAGGCCTAATTTCATGACAACCCTAATCATTTTGTAATTATAGCCTGTATAACTTGTTGACACATGACACGTAGCACACAATCACTTGGGTTGAAATTAGGGTGGATTGCAGTTGTTACACCTGAACTTGCAACTTTCCATAAATGTTTATACAAGAGTACACTGTGCAGCTGGATAAGAAGAAAAGGCCGAGTAGGGTAGATGTTACTCAGCATCACATAGAATAGCACAAGCACCAATACATAAATTTTTGTCACACTGTTCATGTTAATTTCAGTTCATTTAATTTAAGATCAGGTAAAAATATTTAATAAATGCAATACAGGTGAAACTCAAAAAATTAGAATATCATGCAAAAGTTCATTTATTTCAGTAATGCAACTTAAAAGGTGAAACTAATATATGAGATAGACTCATTACATGCAAAGCAAGATAGTTCAAGCCATGATTTGTCATAATTGAGATGATTATGGCTTCCAGCTCATGAAAACCCCAAATCCACAATCTCAGAAAATTACAATATTACATGCAATCAATAAAACAAGGATTGTGCATAGAAAAATATTGGACCTCTGAAAAGTATAAGCATGAGTATATATACTCAGTATTTGGTTTGGGCTCCTTTTGCAGCAATTACTGCCTCAATGCAGCGTGGCATGGACGCTATCAGCCTGTGGCACTGCTGAGGTGTTATGGAAGACCAGGATGCTTCAATAGCAGCCTTCAGGTCTTCTGCATTTTTTGGTCTCATGTCTCTCATCTTTCTCTTGGCAATGCCCCATAAATTCTCTATGGGGTTCAGGTCAGGCGAGTTTGCTGGCCAATCAAGCACAGTAATCCCACGGTCATTGAACCAGGTTTTGGTGCTTTTGGCAGTGTGGGCAGGTGCCAAGTCCTGCTGGAAAATGAAGTCAGCATCCCCATAAAGCTCGTCTATGGAAGGAAGGATGAAGTGCTCCAAAATCTCCTGGTAGATGGCTGCGTTGACCCTGGACGTAATGAAGCACAGTGGACCAAAACCAGCAGACGACATGGCTCCCCAAATCAACACAGACTGTGGAAACTTCACACTGGACTTCAAGCACCTTGCAGTGTGTGCCTCTCCATTCTTCCTCCAGACTCTAGGTCCTTGGTTTCCAAACGAGATGCAAAAGTTGCTCTCCTCAGAAAAGAGGATTTTGGACCGCTGAGCAAGAGACCAGTTCTGTTTTTCTTTAGCCCAGGTAAGACGCTTCTGACGTTGTTCAGGAGCGGCTTGACAAAAGAAATTCGACATTTGAAGCCCATGTCCACGATCTGTCTGTGTGCTCTTGATGCACTGACTCCAGCCTCAGTCCACTCCTTGTGAAAGTCCCCAACACTTTTGAATGG